CTTTGTTTTCCAGCTTGAGATACTTCCTGGCGCTTCCGAGATCTAGCCGAGGCCAGCTGCGGTGCCTCTGCTCTTCCACAGGTATAAGGTCAAGGCTTGTAACGCCAACTCCAACCATGTTCACGCACACCTCTGAGCTGGACTGCCTTGGAAGCAGTCTATGGTGACCCATAGAAGACACAGGCTTGTCCTCTGGAAACACCAGATCCCTGGGCAGCATATGTGGTTTAGTCCTATGGCTCATGCTGTAGGATCGTCTGGGTGGGAAGGAGAAGATCTCCAAGTCCTCCCCACCCAGAGTGGACATAGAGGATGCGGTCATACAGTTACTCAGTCCAAAGTAACTTTCTTGCCGCAGATCCAGTGCAGAGTTGGTCCCCCGTTCCTCTGTGCAAAAAACCTCTTTGCTGTCGTTGCAAGAGTTGGAGGAGTGAATCGAGGGGTTGGAGGAAGAGTCCTGATGATGAAGAACCTCAGTGTGCACCGTGTCTTGCTGCTGAACGCTGTCCTCCTCATCCATGCTCTTCACTTGGAGTAGAGGCTCCGAACTGGACATTTCTTGGAGGCAGAGGATGTTCAGGTGGGCTGCAGGTAAACTGCTGACCCATTGGTAGTGCCTGGCAAGAGAGTTCACCTGCAAGAGGTCTGCCGAAGGCATGGCTGCAGAAACAGAGCAAATGACGCTCCGCATCTGAGCCAGAAGCATTTGAGTTTCCCTGTCCCGATTCTCATAGAGTACCGTATTGGCACAAATAAGTATGAAGAGTCCCACTCCCATAATGACAGGTCCTAGTAGTTTCATCCTTTCACTATGAACCAGACTTGCTGCTGAAAACAGTCCTTTGGACCCTAATCCCCATCCTGATGCACTTCCAGAGGATCCTTCCTCTGTTGTGTCCACTGATGATCGATGGGCCCTGTACGGCCAGTAGCCTGCCACGGCAAGCGCGGTGCCAACAACAACAACCACCACCCCAAGCACCACAAAAGCACCTGGCATGGAACGGATACGCAGTTTTCCCTGGATGACACCTTCCTTCTTTCTCCTGGAGTGAAGACTGAAGCGTGGCAAGCGTTGGCGGGAAGGTGTGGCTGACGTCCGGTCACGGGACTTCTGACTCCTCATCTCATAGACTGGTCTGTAATGGGCCCTAATGGGAGTCTGAAAAGGGTGAAGAGGGAAAAGTGAGATCAAGGTTAAGGTCGAGTGGTGACATGCTTTCAGTTATGCATTCAAGTCAAGAGAACTTTTTCATCTTAATGGTTGCTTCAGACCCCTAAAGCAATATGCAGTATGTGCATATTGACATATGCATATACATAAAGACACTGCAGCATGAGATGTTTAGAAAGTAACTCCATTCTGATGCCTCTGTGTGGTGCACCACAAACAAATCATAAACTGTATTAAATCTATTTAAATAAATCGTATAGACTCTAAATATAACCATCCTTAGAAGTAAAGTGGCTGATGCTGTGTTTTATTGCAGCGAGAGTATTCCCAGTCCCTCAAACAATTTGTAAACTGTTGCATTAGTTTTAAGGCATGACATATTTCTTTAATACACTGACTGATAAACTACCCAGCTGGATTCCCAAAGGGAGCTCCAGATTTTAAACATGGTTTGCTGATTTTAGGTAATCTACGACAACATTTCTTTATGATGTTGATATTAACTTGAAGAAGAAACAGGTGTGCAGGGGAAGCCTTGCGCTCATTGCACTGACCAAGGCAAAAATAAATTGAACCACTAAGAATCTCCAAAGTCTATGCCACATTTGGCTAAGGAAGAATGTGGGGGAAAAAAAACAGTCCATAAATGAGAAATTATATGTGGCCAATCCACTCTGGAATAACAAACGCTCCATTGGCAGAGGTTTCTCAACAACTCTGAAAATGTCATTTACAATTCCGCCAACTCACTTGGTTTGTTTAAACTCATGGGAAATGCTTAGGACGTTCTGCTAGAAAACTTAGATCAGATAGAACTTGTAAGCAACATGTCAGTATTCAGAAATGCAAAGTAATATGGCCAAATGTAAACACTGAGGTTGTGGTGTTTAAAACTGCTTTTTGCAATGCTGCGTCATAAATGATTGAACTTACAACTATGCAAATGTCAAACTCCATAAGTAAAATTAGATGCACACAGAAAAACAATGTGTAGTACATGCATCTCGGAGCATATGTTTCCACTGATTCATCAAAAGGCTGGACTGATGAATTCCAGACCTCTTTTTTTTTCCCATTACCAAGTTCAGCTTTACTTTCAATGGCTGTTCACTCTGGTTTCCAAATGGGTGAAATTAATTATACAAGAGTATACAATATATACAGCAGATATGGATCAATCAATGAATCCGAATTGTTCAATGTTTCAAATTATTGTTTGATTATCTGTGCAGATTATTATTTAAACACCTTAGTCATCTCTTTGTAGACAGGACTCTACATGACTGTCGCATACAATCGTGTCTGAACACTCAAATAGTCCTGCCATCATTGGCATAAATGCATGTACAGTCTAAAATTAATCGATTGTGACAGATTAATTTACATGTTGCATGTAAAATGAAGGGGGGAAGAAGTCTATTCATAATAATTTTTGACATTGCCATAAGCCTCACAAAACATTATGTTGTGGCTGTAACATCACAAAAAAAAAAACTTTTTTTAATATAGGACTCAATCTCCAGTTCCTTTGTGCATGCTGTGTATAATGCAATGTCAAAAATGCACCAAATGAGATATGCAATTCATTATAATTTCAGACACACTTCAGGACGCTTTTAAAAGACTGTCCATCTTATGCTAAAACGATAAAAGACATCAAACCATGTTTTTTTTTTTTCTTAATAGTGGGCTCAATCTCAAATTCATTAATTCCAATAAATCTATGTCTCTCTCTGTATATCACATGGAATGAAATAGCCCTACATGTTGAAGCCACCATTTCTCGATATGCGCCCAAACTTGAGATCAGACTTCTTCAATAACATTAGAAATCTATCGACCTCTAATAAGGTCAAGTCAGTTTCTGTATTGATGTTGCCGTTTTGGCGCTACAGGTTACAAATGTATCAAAGGCGCCTCAATAGTCAATGCGAATACTTGCCTTTGTTACAGTGTATCGCGTCCGCGTTCCATCGTTCTACCGCGCTGGACACGCGTGTTCGTGATGTTCTTCTCCCGCTGCGAAGTTTCGCGGCTCCCCGTCAATCCAGACGCGCGTGAAGTGCCGCGCGTCTCCCATGACAGCTCTTCCACCCCAGAAGAGGACACTGAAGGGTTAAAAGAACGGACTTTCTAAAGACAGAGAGAGAAGGTACATATCGCTCCATCATCGGTAGTCACCGTCCGTCCGTTCCCCAGTGTCCACGTTTCGTGTTCTCCCCTCGGTGAAGTGTTGAGGAGAGCGCCGCCCTCGTCGAGACTCAATGGAGTGACCAGACTTCAGTTCGCTTTCCATAGACACAAACGTTCAACAGGCTATATTGCTCTCTTTTGGGTTTTGAAGAATAAATTAATACATGCTGGTGGACATGAATATAAACAGGTTTGTAATGTAATATTGAAAGAACAGAAGAGGAAAATGATATAGAAAAGCAGGCACACAAGTATAGACATACCAGACACCGGGCAGCCTTTTCCTCTTATCTGAATGTTGGCGACATCTTGTGGAATTATTTTTACATGTAGAGGCGGGAAAGTAATTGCTTACAAATGTTCTTTATAGATTATATATATATAAATATATACAATATTAATTCAACTGCTTAGATTCTGATGTAGTTGATAGTAGTGTTAGTTAATTTAGCATGTCAGAATAATATTTATTGATTGATTTTATCATTATTTTTTTAATTCTCAAACAAGAATGAGATTAGAGAGATGGCAGAAGGGCAATTAAAGGGGTCATATGATGCGATTTCATTTTTTCCATCGACGCGTTTCAAAAAGGCGGGGCATAGAGGAGAAACAATAATGTACAGTATGTGGAAAATAATGTGTTTTTTTAACTTTAAACCGCATAAACACATTTCATTACACCAAATACACAAAATAATGTTCTTTTTAGCAGCATCATATGACCCCTTTAAGTATTTTCCCTTTTCATTGCTTGAACATCCTTTCATTTTCATTGAATTATAAAGAGCAGCACACTTTCTGAAAAACATCTCCTTTTGTTTCGGTTTTGGACCAAAATGAGTGCAACGAGTCAATTTCCTTTAAACAGTTTTACTTTTGATACTACAATATTAGGAGACCCACCATAAAACACCTTTGTAAACTAACTGAATGGACACACAAAGTATTGTGAGGCAGTTTTTTTTAATTCTTTTGTATGGGGAACTTTATTGTAAAAAGACCATAAACTCTGCCCCAGCTTAACAACAACTATGGTACATTTCTAAATATATGATGCAAAGGCAAGGACAGCTACTGTTGCGATATATTTTATTCACGAAGACTGAGTAAAATGAAACCAAGCAATTTGAAAATAAAAACACTACTAAAATGATGCATAAGGTTTAACGATACCAGATAATACTGAACTGTGAATAAGCAAGCAACTTCCCTAATTAAACTGTCTGACAAAAAAGGATAAAAAAAGGATTTAAAAAAACCACACAGAGAAATGAAGTTTGCTGTAAAGAAGAGAAATGCAGGGCAGAACATTTAGACAATTTTCAGTCTATTTTTGTCTTATTTTCAAGAAAAATATTTAAAAACAAGACACCGTTTCGCTTTTCAAAAGAAGTAACATATTCTGACTTGTTTTCAGATAATATATCTTGAATTTGGTTTATTATCTTACCTCAACCACAGATTGTCTCTTGTTTATAGCACAGATCTAACAATTTAATTGTCAGTGGGGTAAAAAAAAAAGAAAACATTTACCTCAAGATATATTCTTGTTTTAAAGATGTTTAGATAGACTGGAAAACAAGGGAAAAAAAAAAAAGAAAGATTTAAAAAAAAGAAAAATACGTTTTTGTTTTTTTTTAACCTAGGACCGAGACCTTGAGCGAGATCGAGACCGGGAATAAGATCGCGAGCGTGAATGTGAGCGAGATTTGGATTTGGATCTGGATTCCCTCCGCAGATCAGAATCTGGTGGCGTTTGTGATCTGGACCGAGAATGAGCTCTAGAGCAATGCGCCCTTTCAGCCACACGGCCTTCATCGACGCTCTTGGTTGCCTCCTGAGATCTGGACCCAGACTCTCTGGAGAGATCCCTGTCGTTTCCCGATTTGGATCGAGATCTGGATCTGGATCGAGAATAGGAGCGATCTCTCTTGTTTTCCCGTTTGCCCTTTTTGCTCGGAGGGCTGCAGCTCGTGCTATTATCCCTGGCGCTTTCACCTCCCCTGCGAGCTCCATTACTGCTCTCCTCCATCCTACTGCTCCTGCCCTTCGTCTTCTTGCTGGTTGACCTGCTGCGTGATCTCGAGCCTGAGGCTCTGGAAAGGAGAGAAACCGTTTAAGAAATATACACCAAATCAATGTATTTTAGCACCTTTGATGCCACAAGAACTTCTATTTTTATAATAGCAATTACTGCCCTCTAGTGGACTCATACATCAAAACTGTACTTATACTACTGTCATAAGAGAATATAGAAACATGAATGTGAGAATTTGTAGGGACACACCTAAATGTCAAGTATATAAGAGCTGTGCATGCATGGTCACAAAATAAATGGCAAAAGGTGTTCCCTAGACGACCATTGAGTGCATTAACATGCTTAAAAAGAACTGCTGTATAATGTCCTATGAATGTATCTAATTGCACACAATCAACCACAGCTTTAAATGTTTTCTACAACACAAAGTCGTATTTAATTTCTCTTCAAGTTCACATAGTGGATAAGTGAAGTCTTAATTCAGTTGTGTTTGCCTACCTGGAGCGGCTACTGGTTCGGCTGTGGCTTCGGCTCCTGCGAGACCTCCTGCTCCTGGAGCGAGACCTGAGGGATGTGTACAAGCAGCAAGAAACTTTAAACACGTGTTCTCTGTGAAACTCTAAAGCAGCTTTTACTACAAGCAAGGTTTGTTTAGCCAATCACTAATTTCAGACATCGAGGTACATGACGACTCGTAACGAACGCAAAGTCTCACTTAATTATCAGTTAAATGTCTCCCACTTTTACAATATCATTCAATAATAAAACTGATTTGTTAGCACCTGGAGGCGCTGCGAGAGTAGGAGCGGCGGCGTCTGGCACCAGGCCGGTCCTCGATGAGCCGGATCTTCCTTCCATTGACCTCAGTACCGTCCAGTTTCTCCAGGGCTCTTTTCATGTCCGAGTACTGCCTGAACTCAATGACCCCCTCATTCTTGCGGCCCTTGTTAGTGTCGGCATAAGTCACCTCGCCAGCCTGACGCATGTAGTCCTGTGAATTCATGACACATTAGTGACTCAAGAACAAATCACTTACGTTTACAGGAATTACTTCCTAAATGCTTAAAATACATGATGGTTTAACCCTTGTGCATCCTTAGGGTCTTTGTTTTTTTTTTTGGTTGTTAATGCAAAAAATGTGTGCACATTGGAATTTTAATATTTCACCATTACTTCCTTTAATAAATCTATTTTATACTAGGTACAAAAAAAATGACACTTAGGGCCTTAAAAGGAACACTCCACTATTTTTGAAAATAGGCTCATTTTCCAACTCCCCTAGAGTTAAACAGTTGAGTTTTACCGTTTTCGAATCCATTCAGTCGATCTCCGGGTCTGGCGGTAGCACTTTTAGCTGTAGCTTAGCATAGATCATTGAATCTGATTAGACCGTTAGCATCTCGCTCAAAAATGACCAAAGAGTTTCTATATTTTTCCTATTTAAAACTTGACTCTTCTGTAGTTACATCGTGTACTAAGACTGACGGAAAATGAAAAGTTGTGATTTTCTAGGCCGATATGGCTGGGAACTATACTCTCATTCCGGCGTAATAATCAAGGAACTTTGCTGCCGTACCATGGGTGCAGCAGGCGCAATGATATTACGCAGCGCCTGAACTACTTTTCATTTTCCGTCGGTCTTAGTAGACGATGTGCTACCTCCAGATCGGCTGAATGGATTTGAAAACGGTAAAACTCAACTGTTTAACTCTAGGGGAGTTGGAAAATGAGCCTATTTTCAAAAATAGTGGAGTGTTCCTTTAAGGACAAAAATGTACCCACCAAAACCCATTAAAACAATATTTAATCTCAATGCCATTTAGGCGTAAAATCATGCATTCTTTGTTGAAGGGCTTTCATTTTGTTGGTACGCCTTCAAAATTAATACTATTTTTTTTTTATTTTCCACCTGATGGCACCATTTTCTCACCTATTAAGCAAATATCTGTTTTTTTTTCCTGTTTTCTGCTGGAAAAAAGGCCAGATGAATTAAAATTATACAATTAAAATACTTTTGTGGGTGTATTGGTATGGATATCAGAGTGTGGTTTGTATGTGTGTACTGAGAAATGTGTGTGTGCGAATGGTAGTTGTTTTAGTTTCTTCTGACACTGGTTCATTATTTTTTTTGTGCATCAAAATTTGTTTTTGTTTTTTAAATCCCCCCCCCACCAATAAAAAAAAACCTCATAGCCTTTAGTATATGAAAAAACAACAGTGGCATTATGAAAACAAACTGGTATTTAAAGGGTTAAAATCCTGAAAAATAATTCATTTTAGTAGTTATGATCAGAACTGATGGTGCTAAACCAAAAAATGTCAGTGAAAGCAGAAAAAAAATATATAACAATTAATATATAACACTTTAATCACTGATTTTTTTAACACAGATATTTTTATCCTCTAAGGATCCCCATGTAACTGTTTTTTAATTGATGCACAAGGGTTAATATAGAGAGAGAAAAGGAGTGACTTGGCTAGTGGCAGCCACCAGATGCAACAGTAACAGTGGTACTTCCCTTAGCAAACATAACACTAAAAACATATAACTAAAAACTAGTAGTACTATAATGTTTCTATACCTTCAGGTCCTGCCAGCTGCAGCGACTGGAGAGATTTTCCACAATCAGCCTGTAATCTGTGCGAGTGGGTGGGCCGTACCGGTCTCCTCCTCCACGCCTATACTGACTACCTTCAGAGTGACGAGAATAAGATGCATACAGCTCAGGAAAGGTAAAACACAATGGAGTCTCCACACTAGACTAAGTGGATTTCACACACAGTAACACTTTAAAAAAAAATCATATTGAGAAAGAAATATCTACAAAAAAAAAAAACATAAAATTATAGAAAAAGTAAGTTTTATACATGGTTTAAGAAACTGAGCTTATATTTACTAGAGTGTAATAAATTTGAATCTGAATTTTAAGTTTTAGAATCACATGAGTGAGAGTAAATGATGACAGATTCATTTTTAGTTGAACTATCCGGATAGTTCACCTAAAAATGAATCTGTCATCATTTACTCAGGGACAGTTCACCCAAAAATTAAAATTACCCCATGATTTACTCGCCCTCAAGCCATCCTAGGTGTATATGAGTTTCTTCTTTCAGACGAATACAGTCGGAGTTATGTTAACTGTTTTTTTTCAACAGGGTGTTGAAAGCACAATGGCACGTGAACACAATGGCCAATCAGAGGTGTTTAAGAATCCACTCAACAGCGCTCAAAATGCTAACAGGAAATGCTGGTATCGTCACATTTTAAAAATTTGACAACACTATCCTCAAGCCATCCTAGGTGTATATGACTTTCTTTTAGACGAATGCAATCAGATTTATATAAAAAAATGTCCTGGCTCTTCCAAGCTTTATAATGGCAGTGAATGGGTGTTGAGATTTTGAAGTCCAAAAAATGCATCCATCCATCATAAAAAGTGCTCCATACGGCTCCGGGGGGCCGTCTGAAAGGAAACGATGCGTTTGTGTAAGAAAAATACCCATATTTACAACTTTATAAACCGTAAGCTCTAGTTTCCACTACCTGTCGTACACGCGTTCACGAGAGAGTGGCGTTCCAGCGGATGATGTAGGACGAAGGCGTAGCGTAAGCTCCGGTGAGAATATGCTAGTCTCGCGAGAACCATGTTTTGTTTACAGCAAAGGAAAACCAGTCTCCTCTTGGCTTATATCAAAATCCTCCAACATTTTCCTTTACAAATCCTCGTTTTGTACTTCTAATTAATGACCAGTGTTTTGTTTTGCTCTCTCCTCTTTGCTTCCGCGTTAGTCACTTCTCACCGGAGCTTACGCTATGCCTACGTCATCCGCTGGAACGCCACTCTCTCGTGAACGCGCGTACGACAGTGAGCAGAAGCTAGAGATTACGGTTTAGAAAGATTTAAATATGGATTTTTCTTCCACAAACACATTGGTTAGCCTCAGAAGGCCTTTATTAACCCCCCGGATCCATATGGAGCACTTTTTATTATGGACGGATGCACTTTTTTGGGCTTCAAAATCTCAACACCCATTCACTGCCATTATTAAAGCTTGGAAGAGCCAGGACATTTTTTTTATATAACTCTGACTGTATTCGTCTGAAAGAAGAAAGTCATATACACCTAGGATGCCTTGAGGGCGAATAAATCATGGGGTAATTTTCATTTTTGCGTGAACTATCCCTTTAAGGGATTCATTCTTCAAGAACTGAAAATATTTCACCAAATAACATACTTACGCTGTACTAATGAGATTAATTTACTGAGGAAAGGTAAAATGTCAAAAGAAACAAAACCAAAACACCTAAAAGAGCTCAAACCACATCTCCTAAACCCCTTGAGATCCTCACCACCCGGCTTAATGGGAAAAGCGGTCCTCTTTCACATTGGCTCGCTTTAATGGTCTGCCCAGGGGCCCAGTTTGGTCAAAGAGCCACACGCATGGGAAGGGGGACACCATGGCCAGCAAAAGGGGCAGGCAGTCAGACTCTTTTGATAAAACATTGAGGGTTAAATTTCTAGCTTTGACATTATAAGTTATTCCATTAAAAAAATAGCTTAAAATCAATCATTATATTGCAACAGTTTTAATCTGCATATAGTGAATCAGAAATTATAATACTTAGAAATACTTGTTTATCACGTTTTTCTAGGTGATTCTTCATTTAGGGACACTTGAGAAAACTTACTTGAGATATATCGTTTTTTTTTAAAATACTTGTTTATCACGTTTTTCTAGGTGATTCTTCATTTAGGGACACTTAACTTACTTGAGATATATCGTTTTTTTTTATTATATATATCGTTATATGGACAAAAAGATTCCCCCAACTGAAGAATCACGCATCAGTAATATCCTAAAGATTACCACTCATACAATTTCACTCCCTAAAAATGTTAAACAGCAACTGCATATGTGGTAAGGTTTGGAATTTAACACAATTTTCAGGCTTCTCATACAGAGACTGGACACTCTTAAAGGGATAGTTCACCCCAAAATATTTGAAAATTTGCTGTTAATTTACTCCCTCAGGCCATCCCAGATGTGGGTGACTTTTTAGCAGAACAGTAAGGAAGATTTTTAGCTGAAACTGTGGTCCTTGGCGAGTCATAAAATGCAAATCAATGGCTGCCCATATTTGAGAATAAAAAGCATATTAAGGAACACAAAATTAATACCCGTGGCTCCTTGACCATATATTGAGGTCTTATGAAGCGAAACGATCCGTCTGTGCAAGAAACGGAGCATTATTTACCACATTATTATCTGTAAGACCATAGATTCAGGCAAACATCTGAAGTGATGTCTAGTTTGCAAATGAATGACTTTTTTGAACTGGTTGTTGTTGGTGAACTAGTTGAACCAGTTCACTGAATCGGACTGATGCGTCTGAAACAGATCGAACAGCCCATATCTATAAGATACTCAATCAAAACTCACTTTCAGACGCCTGAAAGTCACTCCGACTCGAAATGAGCCAAAATACCGGCATACATGATCCTATGATACTGGTCTTGCCAACTCATTCAGCGCTTCAGTTCCTCAAACAACACAGTGAACTGAACCGAAGACCAATGAGCCGCTGATATGCGCATGCGTGAACAGAGCACTTGAATGATGGGACAAAATCAAAGTTATGGTTTCTCAGCGTTTATGTAAAAAGGTGGGCTGATGAAGACAAGTTTATACACTTTATACGCTTAAGGCATGTAAAACATCTACGTTTCACATCATTGTGTGCTTTAATGATATAACTGCGTATGTTACATCATTGCGTGGTTACGTAAACAAACTAGTGGATTGAGCCAGTCCATTGAAACGAACGGTCCGAAAGAACTAGTTCATGAAAAAAAAATCAGATTTCCCTGTTGCTATGGATAACACAGTTAATGTTCAGTTTCTTGCACAGACTGATCGTTTCACTTCATAAGATCTCAATATATCGTCAGGAGCCACAAGTATTCGTTTTGTGTTCCTTGATCTGCTTTTTTATTCTCACTGACTTGCATTAAATGATAAAAGAAGCACGGATTCAGCTTAAAATCTTATTTACTGTTCTACTGAAGAAAAAGAGTCACCTACATCTCAGATGGTCTGAGGGTGAGTAAATTAAAGGCAAATTTTCATTTTTGGGTGAACTATCCCTTTAAAAATGCTGTTCTATTCTGTTTTTTAGATCATGTCAATGTGAAGATGATCAAAAAACCCAAATCACTAACATTACCATGCCTAAGGACAAGTGATTCACGGTTTATAAACCACCAGCCAGCGTCTTACTCAGCAGATTTACGGACAGATCTGCGGAAACCATGTCAGAGCCGATCTCCTTCACCTGAAGACCTGCGGTGACGTCCCTGGAAACATTAATTCTGGAAACATCTATTTCTGGTATAAGGATTAACAATTACAATGGGCATGTTGAGCACCAATCTCTCCATTTGAGAAGCCTGAAAAAATGCAGTGTTTGCACAATCCAACATCAACCAATGAAAAAGAAGTTCCTATGAAACTGAAATAGCATTTGGTATGTAGTATTGTGGAAGAGCGAGTAAATGAATAGCTTACTTCTTCCAGATCTGCTGCCAGTGCCACCATCACGCCGCTGTCCTATGGTGTGCTCCACGATCACTCGCTTCCCACAAAGGTCTTTGCCGTTCAGATCGCACACAGCATCATCTGCATCACGGGGGTCATCGAACTCCACAAAGCCATATCTGAAGAGATGGGATTTATTATATCCTCCTGACTACCAGCTATGGAGTTTTGTCCTCTGTAGAGGACATTGTGTTTTAGCGATTTCTCTGAGACGTTACATGCCACAGTTTTAAATCTGGAGGTCCTGTACAGAGCACATTCAGGGCTTTTCAGAGATGACTTTTTAAAGTCCCGATGTCTTCTACAGAGGACATGGCATAACATATGAATAAAATATAATTTTTCAATTTTTTTCTTATGCTCTAAACAATGTAATGACATGACAAAATACTAAATTCACAAAACTGTTTTTTTCCTGGAAGTCAGGAGGATATTACAAACAAACAAACAAAACCCAGTTGTCTACATATGTTTCAAACAATCCCTTGCTTACTGTTGTTACCCTCAACATTTATTTAAATTTTAAAGACGCTATTAAATAGCTTAATAAGCTAAATTTTATGTTGCATTAACATGTTATCAAATGCAACAGAAGGTTTGGGCGGGGCATCAAAAGGTCTGTACCTATTTTTTTTCTTTAGCACAGACATCATTTACATCCGTGATTTCCTTTCATGTCCGTATTTTTATTAGCAATACAAATAAAATAAATAAAATCACACAAGCACATGAACTCAACACGTCGTGTAAAACCGGATGGTCATGCAACTAGAACGCATTAATACCCATTTTCACTCAAATTGTTGGACATACAGTTTATAAAAATGTGCAAAATATAAACATTTTCACTAGGCTTCAGACTTTTTGACCCTATTGTATCTATACAATAAAGTAAATATCAACTAGAATTAATTTTTAGAGAACGGGACAATAAAAGCCGAAATGAAGCACTCAATCGAGGCCAGCCTGGAAACAATGGAGTTTAGCTTGCTGGGCTAAACCGCTAAAAATACAGTTTTAAAAAGACTGATTGTATTCCGATTTTATATTCCCAAACATATTTTAAGCGCAATTCATTTAATTTCATGTCATTCAAGTTACTTAATTCATAATGGAGGTCTCTTTTGAATCACGCGGAGCAGAAGAAACAACAGTGTATCCTTCCTAACGACTGTTCCGGCTGCATGTTCACTTTAAGTTACTCGAATAAAGCGAACATCACGTACCCGTTTTTCAGGTCCACTTCCAGTATCTTCCCGTAGCCTTTAAAAAACCTCTCGACGTCTTTCTCTCTGGCGCGATAGCTCAATTTCCCCACGTAAACTCGAGACATGTTCCCGGTGCAGCAGCTCGACGCGGAAAGCCAGCAACAACATACATGAGCTTCAAACTAAGAGTCCCGCATTTGGTGTTTTCCAAAATAAAAGTCCCAGCGCTTGTCGTGATTGTGAAGATACCAAACAGCTCCATATAGACGTCGTTGCTTTACTTTTCTCGCTAATTACTAACTTTAATCCCTTAAAGTATTTTAATTAGCTTAAATCCGCATTAATCACATATTAAAGCAGTACAGAAAATAACTCACGCTAAAGACCAAAATCCAGCAATTCAAGTGATGAAAAGACATATGGGGTATTAGTACATACATTTTGTTTTATTTAAGAGGAAGGCCTTCTGATGCGATGCGATGCATTTGTGTAAGAAAAATATACATATTTAAAACTTTATAAACCGGTCACGAAGTACAAAATGAGGATTTGTAAAGAAAAATGTCAGAGGATTTCAATATAAGCCAAGAGGAGACTGGTTTTCTTTTGCTCCTGTAAACAAAATCTCGGTTCTCGCGAGACTAGCATATTCTCACCGATGCTTATGCTACGCCTACATCCTACGTCATCTGCTCGAACGCCGCTCTCTCGTGAACGCACGTTCAACAGTGAGCGGAAGCTGGAGATTACGGTTTATAAAGTTTTACATATAGATATTTTTCTTACACAAACTCATCGTTTCTTTTCAGAAGGCCTTTATTAACCCCCCGGAGCCGTGTGGAGCACTTTTTATGATGGATGGATGCACTTTATTTGACTTCAAAATCTCAACAGCCATTCACTGCCATTATAAAGCTTGGAAGAGCCAGGGCACTTTTTTAATGTAACTGAGCAAATCATGGAGTAATTTTCATTTTTGGGTGAACTATCCCTTTAAATATCCGAAAAAAGTAACTAATTATTGGTTTGATTATGAAGCATAAGCTGTAAAAAATTATATGGTTTGTAAGTCATAGCAACTTATGTTTTTGCATTACTTTAACTCAGGGGTCACCAAACTCGGTCCTGGAGGGCCGGTGTCCTGCAGAGTTTAGCTCCAAATTGCCTCAACACACCTACCTTTATAAGAAGTTATATGAGATTCAACTCAAATTTTTTTTAAGTCAGTTTAGTATAATTTAAGTTGAAATGATTTATACAACCAAATTGATTATACTTAAAATTTTAAATTATCAGCTGAACTTAAGTTTTTAAGCTGAAATAGGTGAAATATTTTCACATGCATACTTTTTTTTTATCCATTCCAATGTGAATTATTTTGCAGAGATGAGCCACCATCACATGCACTACAACCATCAAGTAACTAAAGTTGGCTAAGTGAAGATTTTGATAATTCACAACATTACAGCCATGAAAATATAAGCCAAACATGACACAACATTTTTGTCTTAAGCCACAGTATGAATACAAGAAAAGTGCCTGTTTAATAAATGTAAATGTAAATTGCACAGGAAAGGTTTAATCAGGCCTATGGAAAGACATTCTCTGTAGTGGAGAGCACTGTAGGAGTCTGGAAACAAGGTTTTCGCTGCATCAGCAAATCCAGTGCTGCCTGAAGCTGAACCCATCCAAAAGCTGCTCTGTTAGTGTAGTTACTGCAGTCAGAGAGAATGTCCTGGTGGAAGATGCTGTCTTTGATGACCAGTGTCAACAGAAGCGGTTGAATTGGGCAAATAGGAATAGGATAAAAACATTACAATAATCCACAAGACTCCAGTCCATCAATTAACATTTGCAGCAGCTGCCACACATGACAGTGTTGAGGAAATGTTCAGCCTCCATTGGTCTTGCATCCTCCAGTGCTGTTGCCACTATACCTCAAGCTCCAGTGAAATCACTGAAGGAGCTTTCTGCTCTACAAACCTTTCAGCTCCTTCAACAGATCCAGCTCATGCCTGATGCCTTGTCAGACAGAGGGAAGTAGTTATTAGGTGACCAAGTGGCTTGTGAACTCCATGAAAAGTGATGCTGGTTTTTGCCTGTTTTCAATAAGGGTTTTCAAAGCTAATCACAGAGGGACAACATGAATGACAGCATGAAAATAGCCCAGCCTTGGCGTGAAATTCTAATGTAACTGATTGCAATTCTTAAGTCTCTTACAGAGTGAAGCCTTGCTTTCCAAGGCACTGAAGACAAATTAATGGTTTACAACGATTGTAATTTCTTGGCTAAGCTCATGGCTAAGTTTCACCCTGTGTTAAGAGAGCATGTCAGACTAGTTAAAAAATTGAGAAAACCACAAAACAAATTGATCTCATGCATCGGTGATCGATGGTGGCTGTCATATAAATAAGGGAAATAAGGGAACACATCCGAATGACATTATGTATTTATTTTATCATTTAAAAATGCAGCACAAGCTTCAAGGATTCGGTCTGAGTAAAACGGTAACCCACCAAAATATCAATTTGCTTTTCTTGCTGGAGCTGCAGACTCTTTCTATTTAAAGAAAAAGTAATGACTTCTTGCCTTGAATCAAAACTAACACTAGGTGATGCTAGTGCTTGCACATTTGGCCATACACACATACTCATACTGTCCTGAATAATGCAACTATGGAGTTTTATTGATATTCAGTAGGCCATTAACTAAATATATATGTTAATAAAAAAGAAAAAATAATATATAGAAAATGTATTAACACTGTTGAACTGGGATGCTTTTTTTTTACGCCACATAAAGTATTTTCCACATTTCTGGAAATTCTTTTAATACATATGCATAGCAACACATATTTTCAAAATGTTTTTTGACGAGATTATGCTATTTTTCTTTAGGAAAGATTACAATGAGTCATTCATAGCAAGTGTAAACTCTTCTCCAACTAGACTTCAATAAACACTTGACTTTGGAGTCCAAGGAAAAAAGCTACCCTTATTAATCTAAATCACAATTTCCTTAAATGCACAGTTCTGAATCTTTGTGGAACATGTAGAAAGCAAAAAAAAAAAAAAAAAATTATAAATGAAACACACACACACACACACACACACACTAAATAAAATAAAAAATAAAAATACAGCACTATATATACAGACCAAGAACTGAACCAAACAGGGCAACATAAACACACAGGCCAACTGAAGGAGAAAACAAGGAACAGGTGAAACTAATCAGTGAACTAATGAGTAGTAACTAAGGAATCCAGGACCGAGTAAAGAACTAAACTCAAAGAATCAGAAACACACAGATAAGTGTTGTTATAAAAATGACATTCTACATATAGTGTGAATATCTGTGGCATCCCTAAATATGACCGTTCATCATATGAAATATATATAAAAGACATTGTCCATAAGTACCTTCATTGTAGTAAGTAGGCCTATATTGTGTAACTAACTATTTGTAATTCAACAACCCAGGGTTGTATCTTGACAAGTCACAGTTTCAAAGTAGATCTGAAAGTACACAAGTTCCCACCGTTTCCACCAAAAGTACATTTGGCTCTCAGCCATTTACAACAAGATTGGTTGGAGGAACTAGCCACAGGAAGAAGAGGTAGAGACCAGATAAAATGCTGAATAATTTTTACACAAGTTCCCACCGTTTCCACCAAAAGTACATTTGGCTCTCAGTCATTTACAACAAGATTGGTTGGAGGAACTAGCCACAGGAAGAAGAGGTAGAGACCAGATAAAATGCTGAATAATTTTAAAAATGGCCCTTTTATTGCCACCAACTCATGCACAAACTGATATCTTACATTGTCTGTGGCTACTATAAACAGGAAGGTTAACAGGAAATGTAATTTTTGATTAAGTTATAATAACACAACATGACAGATATATTGACAATTTTCACAGAAATTGCTACTTTTATACTGTTGCTGCGGGTTGTATTTTTAGACGGCCTGGAAGGAGGTTTCGACCCCACGGAAGGTGATTTTAGAGTGATTTTGAAGCGGTTTTTATAGCCATTTTCCCCCGGAATGTGATTGGACTAGTTTTGAGTACCAGTTGAGCTGGTTTTGTTACACTGACCTGGCAACCATGTTCAAAGTTTCTGTATAGAAAACACATGCCTTTTAAACAAGGAGATTTGATTACAGTTAGGGGATTGAAAAAGGTATAAGGATAAGGATAAAGGATAAAGATATAAGGATAAAACTGAAGAACACTGATAATAATCTAAGACCGGCCTGGCAAGGTATGAAAGTTATGGCAGGTTGTACAGAAGACAGAGGGGGTAGGGATATTACAAATGAATGGTTTTATTTCAGAAAAGAAGTTCACAGATTTTTTTGGTTTGATAATGATGATTTTAAGACAGATATAGAGGTTTTAAAATAAAGGACTTTAACGTACTGTAGATGTGCAAAGGGTTAAAGGCCTTATTTGAGTGTATTACCATGAAAAAATAGCCCTGGTCTAAATTATATTGGAGGCAGGGTGCTACATACGTGTGCGGAACAGCTGAGTGAGACATTTCACAACATATTTTCTCAGTCCCTTAAAGGAACACTCCACTATTTTTGAAAATAGGCTCATTTTCCATCTCCCCTAGAGTTAAACAGTTGAGTTTTACCGTTTTCTAATCCATTCAGCCGATCTCCGGGTCTGGCGGTAGCACTTTTAGCTGTAGCTTAGCACAGATCATTGAATCTGATTAGACCGTTAGCATCTCGCTCAAAAATGACCAAAGAGTTTCTATATTTTTCCTATTTAAAACTTGACTCTTCTGTAGTTACATCGTGTACTAAGACCGACGGAAAATGATATGACGGAAAAGTGCTACCGCCAGACCCGGAGATCGGCTGAATGGATTCGAAAACGGTAAAACTCAACTGTTTAACTCTAGGGGAGATGGAAAATGAGCCTATTTTCAAAAATAGTGGAGTGTTCCTTTAAGTGGCAAAAATTCCAGAAATTTGGAAAAAATCAATTATAGTTCCTGCAGCTCACACTCAAGTCCCAAAGGAATTGAATGATTTTAGGCTGGTAGCGCTCACTTCAATGAAGTGTTTTGAGAAGGTAGTTAAGGGAGAAATCCTACAGCAGTCCAAAGACGGTTTTTATTCTTTGCAGTTTGCTCTTAGAGAGGTTGCTGTCTTTCACCTCTTTTGTTTATGTACT